AGCCTCATTGTGATCGCGAACCGCTCTCTTTCCAGCTGTATGCACTGTTGGGGGCAGTTTACGAGGAATGCGCGCGGCGCCAAGGCGCGAAAGAGGTAGCCACATTCTGAAAGCGACGTTTGAATCACCTGTGTAGTTGTTGGAAACGTTCGCAACGACGTGTGGTTGATGTTCTATCCGCTCCATTGTTGGGAAATTCAAGCATACTGGTCATTCATCGTGAGGATGCCTCGAGCGAGACGCAACGCTCTCCCTACGGGCCTCGCGGGACGACAAGGAAGAGCCGAAAGGACGATTGATGGGGGAGGAGGAGGAGGACGAGGACGAGGAGGAGGAGGAGGAGGAGGAGAAGGGATCAGGACGAGGAGGAGGGGGAGAAGGAAGAGGAGATGGGAGGGAGAGAGGGGACTGCGTTTCAGACTGCGCGTGTTTCCCTTAACGGGTCACAGGGGCACCCGTGGGGCATGCGGTAGCCACGGTCCTTGCGGGGAGGGACGGGGGGAGGGAGGCAATTCTGGTGGCGCCCTCGTCGCCACGGCTGGATTCGCCGCTCCAGCAGGAGAGATCGGCGGAGGGGGGATATATTTTGGAAAGGGGACAGGAAAAGACACCACGGCTAAAGATGAGGCGAGTGCTCTTGCCTGCGATTTTTGCCACCCCCGCCGTCGTCGTCGTCGTCGTCGTCGTCGTCGTCGTCGTCGTCGTCGTCGTCGTCGTCGTCGTCGTCGTCGTCGTGCAGCAGACATCGTCGCCGCCGCCATGGCCGTTGCCTCCGCCGTCGGTTTTCTCCAATCGGCTTGCGCAGATCAGGCCAGAGAAACGAAGGCAAACCTAGGTAAATCTGGATAGGGCTAGGAAAATCCATTGGTATCCGGGGCAATCTTGAGCTGATCTTGGACGCTCCAGCGCGAGTTGAGCGACAGCAGACGTCATCCAGTCTTGCACAAGTCGCCGCTACCGCCGCCGCCGCCGCAGACATCGCCGTCGCCGCCGCAGACATCTGCGTCGCTTCCGCCGCTGCCGTCGCCGCTGCCCTCGGCATCGCTCGGACGTGTGCATTGTTCCTCGGCGAGGACCATCCAGGAGCATCCTGGATCGCTCCGCAACAAAAAAAACACGCACGAAACCGAAAAACGCGCGGGGAATGGACAATATTTGAAAGATATTTTACCATTTATTTTGAGAAAGGAGATTCTTCGCACCTGTAGACGTCTGTGAGGGCCTCTGTGTCTTAATATGAGCTCTTTAGGCGCACTTTTACAATCGAAACAATTGGGGGAACCATCTTTATGTCGACGTGAAAAAATAACAGTTTAATTTTTTGAGTCCGAGCGATGGCCGCCATCGTCGCTGCCGCCCCCGCTCGCCCGAAGGTCGCGGACTGCTGGCCGCTCGGCACGCGGGTGGAGCCGCTGTCGGGCGCCGGCGCCCCCGAGCAGCTGCAGGCGCGGCCTGCCCAAGTTGAGACAGCCAGGGGGGGAGGAGGAGGAGGAGGAGGAGGAGGAGGAGGAGGAGGAGGAGGAGGAGGAGGAGGAGGAGGAGGAGGAGGGAGGAGGAGGAGGAGGGAGGAGGGAGGAGGGGGGAGGGAGGAGGGAGGAGGGAGGAGGAGGAGGGAGGAGGGGGCGCCCTCCCCCGAGGGCGGCCGGTGCGGCCGGCGCTTGGCGGCGGAGGGCCGCAGTTGAGACTGTCTTGTGTCAAGGCATCGGGTTCATGTTCCAAGAGCGCTGTGTTTGTCCTTCGAACGTCATTGGGTTCTGAAGACATGTCGTGGTAGGACTGCAGGAATGCCAGGACTGTCGGTCCCTGCTCCAATGGAAGCACGTCGGTGTTGTTTGTTGCCCGCAGCTCTGAGGAGAAGATGACATAAACGTGAATTGTGGAAGGTCCGCGTGGATCTCACGGCTGCGCCGCAGGCGCCGCCACTGTCGCGCTCCGCACGCCAGGGAGGGGCTCCAGCGCCGCTCCAAGAAATCTGCGAGGACCTCCGAAAGTTTATGCGCATGCGGTTATTGATGACTTTCTTCCTTTATTATCGGGAAACGTTTCGTCCCTTTCTGGTAAGGCTTCGGGTTGGCATGCGCAGCCCACCAGAGTAGCCCTTGCCTGCTTCAAAAGGCCCCCCCGAGTAGTTCGGGGCGGTCTCAGCACCTTGGCGCCGCCTCTAACGGCGCTCCTGGCTGAGGCCAGCCCGTACTCCTTTGGTGTGCTGTCCGAGGGCAACCCGAAGGCTTCCAATCCCTTGCGGGGGATCATTTGCGCCAAACTGACTACCGACGATGTTCATGCAGAGGGGTGTGGAAGCAATGTCCTGGCCCTCGGGCCCCTGGCTCAGACATCGGGCGGCTCGCGAAGATCTAGACGCCAGGGCCTCGGGAAACCCAGGCAACTAATGCCTTCAGATTGTGAACGTGGAGGGTTCTCGCCTTCTTCAGCATCTGGCGGCCTATCTCTGCGGTAACACAGAACAGCTCGGGCCAGCCACATGGAAGAACGAGAGGGATTTCCAGCCTTGGAAAGTCCTGTGCCTCCAGAGACCTCCTGGGCGCCTTTCAAGCCTTAGAAACTGCCCTGTGAGTAAAGGGTGGGGAATCGGAGGGATCAGGATCTCGGTTGCTTTCGGCGGTCATATCGGAGAGATTCGAAGTTGGATCAACATGTTATGAGATGATAGGTTGTTTCCTGCGGTGTTCGGATATATTGGCTAGATATGTCATGTGTTTGGATGCTTTCGACCGGGGATTCGCTAGCTCTCACATACGTTTGATGTTACGGGTGTGGTGGCAGCGTCAAAGGGATGGTCTCAGCCCTAGTCCAAGTGATCCATGCCCCTGGTACTTGATGAAGTCTGCGGTGTTTGACCAACACTGTCGTGGAGAAGGAGGCCAAAGACCATCCTTATCTGAGGACAGTCGCACTGTGACTTGTAGTGACGCTGATCCTTGGACCGCGGGGGGCTCGTTTCTTCCACTGGTGCATGGGGACTACACAGATTTAGCATGGAATGCGAAGTGCAATGGCACATATAATTATGAAGTGAGGGATTTGAAGAGCGGCAGCAAAGACAGCTCTACCACTCCTGGCTGGAACGAGCAGGTGGATTTCCACACTACAGACATGGCAACCACGATGTGCGATCAGTGTGTTCCTGATCTGTGGAAGGAGAGAAGGTCGTGCAATGACTTTGGCTGGAGCTGTGTCTGGAGGAGAGCTCGGCCTAGTCACCAGAACCATCACCTTGAAGGTGTCGCTCAACACCAAGGAGTGGCCGTACAACCGCGTCCTGTTCTTGGCGCCGGAGGGCTCCACAGTCCCCACAGGGGTCGACACGGACGCCCCGTACGATTCCTACGCGGGGCGGATGCCGTTCGACAAGCTCACGATGACAGACATCCGTGCGACCTTTATGCTAGGCCCCAGGGCGGTCGTTGCTATCGCTTCCTGGATATAGGTCCGATGGTGCCCACAGCGAGGCTAGTGGAGCCTCGGCCGCTGGATATAGGTCCGATGGTGCCCACAGCGAGGCTAGTGGAGCCTCGGCCGGTGAGCAGACCATGGTGTGATCGGCATGCACGTGCGCGCGGAAGGTTTAAGGTACGGGCTTCGTGGGCGCGTCGTCACGGCGAGATCGTCTGTTTTATGAAGCTTCGTTGCCACGCGCATCCGTGACCGCGTTGCGCTTGGGGGGGGGGGCGATCTGATGGTAGGAAGAAGGGGCAGAGTGCATATTACCAAACCGATTTAGACGTTGTGATCGACAAATTGCACTTCGGTGGGCACAGCAGGAAACACGAAAGGCAAAGTGAGAAAGAAAGGACAGAGCAAAGACCCGCTAGGGCATAGAGTATGCGCCCGCGTGGTCGGGCGGGGGATGACGGAGTTGATTGCGATCTGCAGATGGAATTTGTATAAGTATGATAGATAACCGCGGCAGACTGGGAAAGCCCGAAACATGTGTTGGACAACTGTGGGTAGCAGCAGGTTGGGCGGTGTTATTCGGCAGTCATTGTGGGGTCCGTACGGTAACGTTCACCCCCTGCTTTCCCCCTTCCCATGAGAAAATTCCTCCTCCTCTTCCTTCTCCCCCAGTCTTTTTCCTTATAGATAACTTCCGCCTGTCGCACCCCGAGGCCAGTTTTTAGGGCGGTCCGGGCGTTTCGCCTGAGACCTCCTTACCTTTTTTGACCCTGAAGTTTCAATATTGACAACAGCTTCACAGATGGAGGGCGGGTCGTTTTTTTCAATGCGGCTCTCGCTTTCGCGCCGCGCATATGCGTTTGAAAAATACACGCAAAAGTTCCACATATTGAGGGCGGGTCGTTTTCAAACTGCGGGTCTCGCTTTAGCGCCGGAGGTTCACTGATTGAGGTCGGCTCCTTTTCACAATGTGGCTCTCGTTTTAGCGCCGCGCACATCCGTTTTGAAAATTCGCAAGAGCTTGACGGATTGAGGGCGGCTCTTTTCAAAATGTGGTTCTCGCCTTAGCGACGCGCGCATTCGTTTTTTTCTGAACTTGCAAGAGGTTCATGGATCCCCATGGCCAGCGTACCAGAAATTCTGTTTTGGACAGGGTTCAGGATTATGAGGGTGCAACAGTTACGTTGGCTCGCGGTGTTGAAGTCCCAGGAATGGCGCTCTCTCACGGAATCGTCAAGACGCAAGAGTCAGGTTGATCCGTGGCGTTGGAATCCAGAGAACGATGCTTTGGCATGCATCAGGGTCTTTAAACGGTTGTTTTCCAACGAGGTAGTTCCCTCAGTGGAAATGAGCCATGGTAGGAGCCTGTGAAGAGGGAGTTTGGAAGGAGGGTGTATTCCAACATCGGTGATGTTTCTTGGGTTAAGACTGGTCCTCCTCCTCTTCCTCCTCCTTTTCCTTTTCCTCTTACTCCACCACATCTGATTGACCTCCTCCTCCTCCTCATCCTTCTCCTCTTGCTCATCCTCCTCTTCCTCCTCCTCCTGCTCCTGCTCCTGCTCCTCCTCTTCTTTTTCTTTTTCCGGAGCCATTTGGGCTCGAGGTTTTCTGCTCCAGGCGCATGCTTATTCCTTCTCTCGGTTCTGCCGCTAGGGCCTCTGCTGACGAATTCGCATTTCTGTTTCACGGCCTGCTGCTCCGTGAGTTGGCGGGCTTCCTTTGCCATCAGTCCCGAAGGCATCTCGCAAGTTGCACGGGTACTTCGGCGACGTGGTCAGCTTCATCCCAGGTTGGTGTCCAAGATCATCAATCGAGAGGAGTACTACCACATCATCCGCCACATCAGCGTGAAGAAAGTAGAAGAAGTACACCAGAGCGTGTTATCGGACCTTGCGAGTCGAGTTTTCGGCATCGGTGACCCAATCGTTGACCAGGCAAGAGGTTTCAGCAACCCGCCGACGTCCAGACGTCTGCGACGAGCAATTTCGAGCATATGCGCCAGGAGAGCGATACTGAATCTACCACTTCGGTCTCGCAGGCGCTGGTCAGCCTTGTGCCCGATCTCACGGCAGGCGCAGAGCTTTTGAACATCTCCGACAGCGACTCGCGGGGCCGTTCGTCAATGGAGGCGGCTACACAAACGGAACGGCGGCTACACAAACGGACGTCGGGAGCGAGCACGGCGTTTTCGTTTACAGTGATAGCGAGATGGTTGAGCAGGCCACCGTCGCAGTATTGAGGAATTTGCAGCTTGTGGTTGAGGAGTGTGCGGTGGGCCATCCAGAACACATCGGCTGTGTGGGTGGAGGTGCTCTCGTGGAGTACCACGACAGGGAGGAAGCCGCTCTCCACGACACACCACTAAGAGATACTATGTGCGAGTACCGCCCACATGCTCAAAGCACATACCGAAAATCCAGCGACACGCGACGCACGCTAAGCTGCGAAACGCACTGCAAATGTCATGCTACAGTTGCCTGGGGTCACCTCGCTTCCCACAGTCCAAATACTCGGAGATGCTCCACTGCTTCCCCGTGCCATATCCCAGGTGGCGGTATAGCATCCTTCCCGTCATGGGTTGTAGGTGCTGGACATAGAACCTAAGCAAATAGTTTCGCATATGTGGTCATCTTACATATCGAAGACCTCGTCGATCGTGTGCCGTAGCACGCACCAAACAGCGAAAACGTATCGAAGCCAGTGTTTGACGTCGTCTACGACATCTGATCAGGGCAATGTGCAGTCATGCGTAGCGCCTGCTCTCTTCAGTGAGGCAGGCTGAGTCATCTGGAGCCTTCGAACCCTGCTTCTGTCTTGAATTCGGGTCGGGTCGGCCTAAAAGTTGGCCGCCCCCGTCGGCGAGTGTCCTCCTCCCCCTCCTCCTCCGGAGAAGATAGCGATCGTGAGCGCACGACGGTCGCGCGCCCCGAGCCCGCCGGGCGCCACGTGCCCGGCGGGCGGCCCCAGAGGCAGCACAGCAGCAGAACAGAGCGTCGTGTTGGATGGGAGGCGTGGATCGTCACCCAGGTATGTTCACGTCGTGGCAGAACCAGGACGGGAGATTTGCGGCTGTGTTCGGTTTCTCGGGGCCCGGCCGCGAGTAAGCCGAAGAGCGCACGATGGAAGGCCGACGAGCCGTGTCCTAACGGCCTTCGAAGCCGAAAACAGCGAAACACTAGCGCTCTGATATGTTCAGCCGACGTTAGATCGTTTGCGTGGCGAGGACGACGAGGGGCGGGGCCGGGCGGAGCTTGCGTTCGACTCCATCTCCGTCGCCATCGTTGCCGCGCTACCCTGGGCCCGTAGAGTGCGCATTCATGCCAGGACTTCGGCACTGCACTGACAAGAGACTTGAGAGGCGTCGATCGTCAAAAAAAACGTATACGTCACAGGGCATCTGGCAGACAAACCACGCCCGCCGCAGGGGGGAGCCCAGATATCCGATGTTTTAAGTTGTTCGATACGGGGCCCGCAGAAGTCCTGACACTTCCACAGGACCAGTTTTTCACCCCGACTTGTTGTGTGACGGCCTTGGGGCCCCGCGAGGGCCGCGAGAGGGCGGAATCGGCGAAAGTCACCGATTTGAGTTTGGAGGGGGAGGAGGTTGTGATGTTGGAAAGAGCGTGTTCTACCGCTGCTGACAATAAAAACGGGGGGGACACTGGGGGTTCCCAACCCGTCCCCCCCCCCCCGTCGAAAACCGGGGGGGGGTCACTACCAGTTTGAACCTCTCCCGTCCCCCCCCCAGTCCATCATGAAAAGGGGGGGGTTCATTGCCGGTTCGAACCCCCCTTTCCTCGACAACCAGGGGGGGTCACTACCGGTTCGACCCCCCCCCCCCTTGCCGCCGTTAAACGATTCCCGCTCCTCGGGACAGTTGGACAATGGTGGGGATGCTGGGACAGTGGTGGGAACGGTGGTGGTGGGGACAGTGGTGCGGGGACAGTGCGACCGTGGTGCGGACAGTGGTGGGGACGGTGGTGGGGGGGACAGTGGTGAGGGGACAGCAGGACAGTGGTGGGCACAGTAGGACAGTGGTGGGGGCGGCAGTGGTGGGGACAGTGGTGAAGGCGGTGGTGAGGACAGTGGTGGGACAGTAATACAGTGGGGAAAGTGGTGGGAGTGGGTCCGTGGGACAATGGTGGGGAGAGTGGGGACAATGAGACACTGGTGGGGGCAGTGGTGGGGACAGCGGGGACAATGTTGGGAACAGTGGGGACAGTGGGACAGTGGTGGGAACGGTCGTGGTGGGGACAGTGGTGTGGGGACAGTGGGAATGTGGTGGAAACAGTGGGACAGTGGTGGGGACAGTGGTGAGGGCAGTGGCGAGGACGGCGGTGGGACAATGGGACACAGGTATAGTGGGGACAGTGCTGGGAACAGTGGGACAGCTCAGTGGGACAGCGGCGGGGACAGTGGGGACAGTGGGAAAGTGGTTGGGGCCGTGGGGAAAGTGGGGAGAGTGGGACCGTGGTGGGAACAGTGGTGGGGACAGTGGGGACAGTGCGACAGTGGTGAGGGCACTGGTTTGGACAGTGGGGGCAGTGGTGGGAACAGTGGGGACTGGTGGTGAGGACAGTGGTGCTGGGGACAGCAGTGGGGGATGTGCGGGAGTCGTTTGCTGGCGGTGAGCGGTGGGAGGAGGGGTTCGAACCAGTAGTGAACCCCCCTAGTTTTCTGGAGGGGGGGGGGTTCGAACTGGTGGTAGTGACATCTCCCCCCCCCCGGTTTTCTGGAGGGGGGGGGGGCTTTGCTGGGGTGGAGGGGGGAGGGGGGGGGCAGCAGGGGGGGGGGGATCTTCGGAGGGGGGGGGCTCCAGGCTCCGGAGGAAGAGGGGGGGGGGGGGGGGGGAATTTCCACAGTAAAGCGGCGGTGGATCACGCTCTCTCTGATGTTGGAGGAGTTGGGGGTAGGAGGTGGTGGTGGAGGAGCCAGAGGCGGCTGGGGGACATAGCTACCACGCCACCAGCCCTGAGCTTCGAGGGGAAGGAGGAGGAGGAGCAGCAGGAGGAGGAAGAGGAGGAATAGGCGGAGGAGGAAACCGAAGCGGAGGAAAATGATCAGCAGAAGGAGGCGGAGGAAGAGGAGGAGGGAGGAGGAGGAGGAGGAGGAGGAGGAGGAGGCGAGGGATGAGGAGGAGTAGGCTTCCAGGTCTGCGAGCGGGCCGCCTTTCACAGCTACTCGGTGGAACAGGAACATCTGAGGAATTGCTCATGGGGGACACTCTTTTCTTGGGGAACCCCCAACTCACAGCCTGTTGTGGGGGGTGCTCGATGTGGGCCAGCCCAGGCTAGCAACCCCCAAGACGGCTTCCTAGAGGGAGGCAGGCTGCGCGCTGCGCGTAGCGGTCACAGCAGCCACCTTCTGGCGGCTGAGCGATCTTGCCTTCCCCCCGGGGTTTGGGGGGAGGTGCCGACGAGCAGGGGCGAAGTGTTGCGAGGGGGGGAGGCGGAAGTTTTCATAGGTTGACGCGTTTCTTTACACAGGGGGGGGGGAGCGAATCAGGCCTAGCAGATGGGCGGCGGAGCGAGTGCTCGAGGAAGGACGGGAAGAGCGGTGGGGGCTGTCACGCTGGGGAGAGGGGAAAGGAGTGGACTGAAGAGGAAGGCGGACCAGTTGGGAAGTGCTGCCCACTTGGGCTGTGCCGCGGTCGCCCTGCAGCCACTGCAGACCTGCGGCGGATGGGGGAGGCGCATTGCGGTGGCAGCCGTGCCACTGTCGCCCTGCTGTTCCCTCACATGCAGGCTATTCTGAGGTGCTCCTCGGCGCGCGGGGAAAGCATGCCCTCAGTGGCGCTCCGTGCGTCCTCAGAAAACTCCTGCAAGGGATTTAGAACAGCAGATTTTGTCTCAGCGAGACGCTGCTATTCTACACAATGCGATGCAAAACAGCAACAGGCAACGCAAAGTGCTGAAGAAGGCTCCAGGAGCCCCCCTAACCCACATATTGCTGCACTTAGGCAGCGCTTAGTGCAGCAAGTGCGCCTGCGAGCCGATGGCAACACCGGCAGACGTTAGGGTAGCCGGCTCCTGCCATGCACAAGGGTGGCCATCCTGCCCCCCTCAAGCGGGGGGCTCCGCAGGTTAGCACGATCCGCGCTGCCGTGCCCCCGCCCCGCCCCGACGCTCGTGCGCATCGCCCCGGCCTCGCCGCGACGCAGAACACTGCTCTCCACGACGGTGGGAGGAGGAGGAGGAGGAGGAGGAGGAGGAGGAGCTAGCCCCTTGCAACAAGGTGTCTGGAGGAACGTGGCGGTGGGCGGATCATGGCTGGGGGATGGTGGGGAGGTCGGCGTGGCAGGGGGGGTGGATTGGGACGGCTCTGCCGCGCCCAGGCACAGCAAGGCGAAGCGAATGAAGCTAAACCGCGGTGAAACGCAGCGTGGGCTCCAGCTGAAGGGCGCGCCCGCGACCGCGGGCAGCCTATCCCATCGGGGGGGGGGCGGCGGAGGACGAAGCGGAGGAAGAGGAGGTGACCTAGCTCTCGGGCGTGTCCAACTCTTGCCCGAGCTGGGAGGATATCGCTCATGATAATACTGCACTCTGCTCTACTCCCCTGCTACTGCTGCCACGCCCGACAGGGCGGGCAAATCCTGCCCCCCCTTCTCGAAGTCTTTTGAGTCAAGATGTTGTGTCAGCGATGCGCTCCTACGCGAGTCAGCAGGAAACGCAAATTGCTGGAGAAGGCTCCAGGAGGCCCCCCAAACTTGCTGCACTTATTCAGCGCTAAATGCAGCTAGTGCGCCTTCATGCGACGAAGTCTCCAAGAGGTCCCCACATCTGGCTGCATGTAGTAGGTAGCGCCATGTGCAGCAAGGGCATAGGAGGAGGAGGAGGAGGAGGACGAGGAGGAGAGGGTAGAGGAGACGGCGCAAGAGGAGGAGGAGGAGGAGGAGGAGGAGGAGGAGGAGGAGGAGGAGGAGGAGGAAGAGAAGAAGGAGGACGAGGACGAGGACGAGGAGGAGGAGGAGGAGGAGGACGAGGAGAAGGATTAGAAGAAGGAGGAGGAGGAGAGGAGAAGGAAAATAATGATGGGTGCGCCCTGTCGCCGGCAACACGGTGGAGTGGCGCCGTCCACCGCGGGTGTTGAGACAATTTCCCTGATGGGCACACCCCTTCTTTTTTTGTTGGTAAGGACTTGGACGCGACCGCGACACGCCTGGCCCCGGTGGACATACAAACACACACACACACACACACACACACCTCCAAACTAGGTGCGTGCTGGGGCTGCGGATTCAGCAGGAGGAGGAGGAGGAGGAGGAGGAGGAGGAGGAGGAGGAGGAGGAGGGAGGAGGAGGAGTAGGAGGAGGAGGAGGAGGAGCAACAGCAGCAGCAGCAGCAGCAGCAGCACGAGGAGGAGCAGAAGGCGGTTTCTAACGCCAGCGGGTAACCTAAGGTCTGTCAAACGTACAAAAAAGCAAGAGAAGGAGGAAGAGGAGGAGGAGAAGGAGGAGGAGGAGGAAGAGGAGGAGGGGGAGGAGGAGAAGGAGGAGGATGAGGAGGAGGAGGAGGAGGAGGAGGAGCGAGCTCCTCCTTCCCCGCCAGGCGCTCCCGGGCAAGGGCGGGCCCGAGGGGCGGAGGTTGCTGACGGCGCGCGGCGGCCAGCTCGAGCTGCTCGCGCCCCAGGAGGCGCTCGGCGGCTGGGCGCCGGAGCCGACGGGGGAGAAAGCCAGCCACGCGCAGAGGGCGGCAGGGGGGGGTGGGAGGGCTTCTTAGAAGCACCCTTGCTTCCTAGAATGCGCCTGCATTCCATGTAGATGTAGGGCCCGCGCCTTCTAAGAAGCCTGCATCCTTGCTTTTTGTTTGTGCACACACCCGTCACCACCCGACTGGCTGGGCCTACCCGAGACATGCCAACCTCCCCCACCAACCCGGTCTAACAACAATACAGAATGCATGTTGCCTCCGCATGTGGAGCGTGCGCGCGCGCGCGCCCCGCGACCACGTTGCATTGGCTTTTGACTAGGACGGCGGGGGTGCCGTCATATTGCTCGCTGCGCGCAGGCCAGCCATCCCTGACAACAAAACAATCCGGAATGCACTTTGCCTCCGCATCTGGAATTTGCGCGGGCGCCCCGCGACCATTTTGCGAAGGGGGGCCTCGACCCCCCCTTGTGCACTCCGCCAAAAGAGTCACCTCAGGGCCGACGTTCCCAGAACGCCTCAGATCAACAAAAAGTATACGGCGGGAGCTTAGTCACTATTTTCGGCCTTTAGGGGCCCTGACCCGACTGTCAAAAACCGATTCTGGATGACGAGTCAGTTGAGGGATTGTTGAACCGGACATGCTGAGGGCAGAAGGGAGAGGAGGGGGAGGAGGAGTAGAGTAGGAGGAGGAGGAGGAGGGAGGAGGAGAATGAGAGT